CACTAATGTCAATATAACAGTACAATGAACATGTCCAAATCTACATAACATTTTTAAACAGTTCCAATTGTCATCATTTTACCAACTAAATAACATTTACTAATGATGAAGAAACACATGGTTTTGATAACATGTAACTGCTGTCATTGTGTATATTGTTATGATCATATTAAAAAGAAGAAAAGAAAAGAGAAATAAACATGATTTATGGAATTACAACAGGACTAAATTACTCTAATTATGTGACAAACAAATACATATTTCTTATATCACCAAGAGGTTAAAATAGAACAATCATCACATAAATACCTCTTCCTCCTACACATAAGAAATACAATATCAATATATAAAAAAGAGTAAAAGAAGCTAAAATGAAACATTGCACTGTTCTTTGTAAAATCTCAATTACTGACAACCCCTTTACAACAATCATTTAAAGTACTTCTGGTCCTTGAAATTACAAAAATAATCTAAAACTGATATGAAAGAGCCTCTCCATCAACTATGTTACCTACTTTTCCTGCATTCTGGTTCAAGAGGTTAAGTCACAGCTTAAACATAATTAAGAAGACTGGGTTTTTGTTTTGTGTGTCAACATATGGCTCTTCAGGCTTGAGTTCTTTGATGCTCTGTATGGACAGTATGTACATGCATAAGGTTTCTCCCCAGAATGCTTACTGATGTGGATTCTCATGATGTTTTTCCGGGTTGCAGTATAAGGGCAAAAGGGGCAGGAAAACGGTTTCTGTCCTGTATGGACATAGATGTGCTCCTTGAGGAGGTCGCTGCGGGTAGTATCATACGAGCAATAAGGGCATGTGAATGGTTTTTCTCCTGTGTGTTTTAGGATATGCCTTTTAAGTATGTGAATGTAGACAGTGGTGTAGGCACAGTGGGGACATTGGTGCACCTTGCTAGTGGACGCAGAGACTTGCCACTCTTGTGATCTCCTTCTGTCATCTGTCCATTGATAGCTATCCTCCCGGTCCACCTGTTGATGAGGCTGTGTCTTACATTCCTTATAGAGATTTGTTCCAATGTGATAATCAAAAGGCAAATATTATCCAAAGTCTTCTAAATTATGGGCTTTCATTCAATTTTTCAGTGAAGGTTTGAAGTTCAAAATTCATTTTCCAAATTCATAATGTTTCCCTTAAAGAAATAAAACTATAAAGTGATGAGTTAAAAAAAAATACTAATGGATATCTCTAACTATTAATAGAAAACTAAATAAAACAAAATAGGGAAAACATAATTACCAAGTGCAACTAATAAAATAAGCATTAGGTTATAACAAAAAAATATCAAACTAAAAACCATACTTCAATTATTTTGGAAGTATAAATAAAAAACTAGACAACATATAAATACAACACCAACAATTATAAAACAAATGATACAAAATTACAGTTCCAAACACTTCAAACAGATTTTACAGCACAAAGCTTGAGAAAAAAGCAAAATAAAAGTCATTCATGAAAAAGCAGTAAAAGAGGAAAAGCGAGATAGTCAAGATGAGAAACGAGATTGGGATAAAAATCTAAAAAATACAAAAAGAGAAGTAAAAATAATAATAACGATCACAATAATGAAAAAAATAATGATAATGACTATAAAAAATATACAAACAATGATGATAATAATGGGAATAATAATAAAAATAAAAAAAATCTTTTAATCAATAAATATGAACAGTCCTTTGGAAGGTAAATTTACATCTTTACCTGAATTTCTATGGGAGAAAAGATGAACCCTCCATCAGATGTTTTACGAAAATGCCAAGCAACAACAATGACACGAAAATGTCTTCTTCCCCTGGATAAGGTTTCTTTGTTATATGTATTATCAGACACAAAATCTTTTTGTTTAATCATATTTCTAGTTTTAGATAGAAGACCCTATCTTGTGTGTTTGCATATGCCTGTTCAAGTTGGATTTCTGATAAGCACTATACGAGCATTATATTGCAGACATGGTTTTCCTCAAGAATGTTTACGAAGGTGGGACTTCAGCATATTCTTGTGAGAGGCTGTGTATGGGCAGTACGGACAAGGAAATGGCTTTTCCCCCGTATGTAATCGAAGGTGTTCCCTGAGGAGCTCCTTGCGAGTAGTACTGTATGAGCAGTATGTGCAAGAGTGAGGTTTCTCCCCTGTGTGTTTTAGAATATGTCTGCGGAGCTTAAAGGAATTGGGTACGCTGTAGGCACAATAAGGACACTGATGCAATTTTCTGGAGGAGGTTATGCCCTGCCAACCTTCGGTAGGTCGTCTAACATCAGTCCAGAGATGGTTGGAGTCCCACTCCACCTGTAGAGAAGGCTTTATCTTATTCTTTATCCTAATAGTAAGAAAAGTGTTCACATACTAATGATTCTGAATGAAACTCTATAGAAAACACACAAAGATTCATACACACACACGCACAAAAAAGTTTCCATTAATTTCACTTCAGTACAATAATCAGTCACACACATGTCATGTTCAAAGCATAGAATTATTTGTAATTTATTCAGATACATCTACAGTTCATCATCAAACTGTATGATGGTATAATCATTCAACATTAATTCATCAGTCAATAAAGGCTCCAATTTCCAAGAAACTTCATAAACATGTTTTAAATCAAATGCAGTCTCAAGAATCTTAGTTTACAAAAATATTTGGTATAGCCAAGGTAAATACATAGTTTTTACATTATTAGTTAAATCCTCTGAAAATCTAGATATTTGTATGCACACAGCAAATACT